TTTAGCTAAATAGTTTCGATTTTTACACAATTCTGACCAATTGCAAAAGCAACTTATTCACAAAACTTCTTTATTCTTCTCTTTACTTCCTTTGTTGTTTTTTGCGTTTTTCAAATTGATTGTAGATGTCGCACCGTGCTCTCATTGTGAGAACTTTTTGTAGTTTTTTCTCAGAGAAACATAATATTTTGTATTTCATTTTGAATGTATATTTTTCAATTGGCGACAAATTTAAAATTTTACTTAATAATTGCTCTATTTGAGACAATAAATATTTTTTACATAAAAAACTTTTTTTTAACCGAAAATCAAATGGCAAGTCTAAATTGAAATGATAAAATGTGAAATTTACTGTTCAAACGAAAACAATGCACACTTGATTGAAATAAACACACAATGAAATAAATTGCAACATAAGACAATTGTTTAATAATAATTAAATACTTAGATAGAGATTTTTTTTAATTGTCCCTTTAAGTACTGTAGGTCACAACAATTAGAATATTGTTTCTCACAATCTCAGAATCTATTCATGAAACCCATGTAAACTGTTCTCATATTTACATATCTTGATACCCATAAAGTCGGGCTATATAATTAATAAAAAACCAGCTGAACTGACCGATTTTTTGCCGAACATAAACGGGATTTAAGGCCAACCGCCTGTAACGATTAAAAAATCAAGCATATCAGACAGCTGATGTTCCGATAGGCAAAGTCCATTCTTCAATTGAAACTTTAAAAAATTCGACCCCTTTTGTGCTGAAGAAACCATATGGTATGAAGAATAATTGTTCCTTATTTCGAAGGTACACCTTTAACTCGTGTTTTAATGTGAAATGTATGTTCGTAATCTCATTAGGCATTGGCGTAGTTGGTCACGATTTGGCCAAAATTTAAAAAGTCCTTAAAACCGTTTTCTATCCTACTTCAACAGCCAAATCAATGTTTTCAAGAGAAATCTTGATTTATTGTCATTATCGGCAACTGTTAATTAGGAACGAGAGGTGTTCACTTGCAACAAAATTAGAAAACATTGTACACTACAGCTATTATTTTGAATAATATTAAGGATAATTAGGGCAACTGTTAAGTCAATATGCAATAGCATCTAATGTGTCTCAAGATAAGATGTAATCTAGTCCTACTTTCGATGACAAGAACAAATAATTTATTAATCAAATGCATTGTTCACTGTCGCTGTAGATAAGAAAGTTGAGCACTTTACATTGCTAAAAGTTGTGCATTAAAAATAAATGTTTAACGCTTAACTGATTTTATTGTAACCATTGACACACAAGTTTTGCGTTCTAAACTGATGTTGACCAAACTCACTTGAGAATGATTGAGATGATCATACAAAATATAAATGAAATATTTTTGGTAGTTGGCAAATGTATTTGAAAAATTGGACACAGGTACAACCCTATGAAACCAAAGAACTTAATTAATTTTACCATGTAAGAACTATTCCTACTTTGGGTGATTTCTCTAATAGTCAATTAGATTAAGAAGATCTAATAATTTCGACACGCGTTTGATAGATAATAGAGACTTACCTAAAGGATAATTTTTTAGAGTCGATAATATTTTAGAATAAATGTATGTTTTTGTTTTAAAATGCTTTTCTTTCGTTTTTTTTCAAGCTTCTTAACCGGTATTAAACCAGCGAATTGGAAGATCCGCCGAAAAATCGACGTTCTGTGATGAAATAGAAAAGTAAACAAATGTTCTACAACCTGTAGATGAAAATTGCTTCAAAGTTAGTAACGATACATATAAATAAGCGCGGTTGTAAATTTAGAAAAGTGGCACAATTTTAAAATACATCTGGTACACGAGTTAAATGAACACGATTCAGAGTGCCAAATGAACTTCTGCTGGAGCTTAATTGATACTAACATTAATGCAAGTTCAATATCCTCTATTTTTTAGATCAATATTTTTTATACAGGGTGATTAAAACAGGGCCTTATTATTCAGGAGTTGTAATAGTAAGAATAAATCTCACAAAAAACTCAAATAGCCGTAAAAAACTGGATGAGAAGACAAAATTGCCAACAATGTATTATATGAAATATAATGTGTTTAATTGTCCGCAAAAGACGTTTTTCTTATTGACATGGCATACAGATTTGTTGCTTTATTCGCAAATCAACAAAATTAACATGTGAAATTAAATGGCAAATAGAAGAAAAAAGACAATTTTGTTCAGGTAATGTTAAATTATTCACTCTAATCAGTTGGAAAGAAGTAAAACAAATAAATCCCAAAGAATATCAGAAATGATTGGATTCGGATTACATCGGTTTCATAACAAAACTGCACAAATGCGCACAAAATCACTCAATTGCACCCCATAATCTTACTTCACAACATCAGTTTTCATTCTTTACAAGAACGCTTTGATGTCATGTGGCTGCTGGATGTTAAATAAAAGTTTTTTAGTAAAAAAGTTAGGAAAACCTGTAGATATGTGGACCTGCTTGAACTTACTTCTTGATACAGTTTTTTCGAACCTGCAAAAAATCTTTCAATGGTTTGCCGTGCTTGGTTCAAACAAGCATTCACTTTCTATATAGCAAGCTGCTGCTCAGAGGCAGCCACTTTCACCGTTTTCCACAAGTTTACTTTCAATTCATCCACTACTACGAAATAATTTTCGTGTAATGAACAAAATAGTAAAAGAGTAGAGCTTTCAAAGAAGGAAGATAAACAAGGAAGATAAACTTTATGCATGTTGGACATTGCCATACATTTTCGGTTTTCTAGAACGCAATAAGAAACTGCGCAACTGCGCACAAAACTCAAGAATATAGCACGCGTACGAAGAGAAGGGGAACCTTCAACAGATTTCAGCGTCGGAAAAGGAGTCAGACAAGGCTGCACTCTTTCCCCAATTTTCTTCAATATATACGGAGAATGGATTATCAGAAAGGCTCTTTTTACATCTGGAGGGGCGGAGTCTCTATTGGCGGAAAAATGTGTCAAACCAACGATATGCGGATGACACGATAGTTCTGGCACAAAGCGATCAGAAAATGTTTGATATACTTCAACGGGTAGAAGCTACCAGTTTGGAATCAGGCCTACGACTGAATAGGACGAAATGATGTCTCCTGATTGTGGACAGACCTCAAACAACCCCGATGCCATTTCGACTGATCCACGATATAGAGACCAATGACACTGTTATCTATCTTTTCCGAGTCCGAAGTCAAGAAAAGGATTGGAATGGCAAAAGAAACTTTAAAGAAGAAAGACCACAATATCCGGAAAATGACCAAGATGAGACTTGCTGATATTCTCCATCGCAACATATGGATCAGAATCTTGGACATAAAACGTAGCATGCCGCAAGAGAATAGAAGCGTTTGAAATGATATTTTACCGTAGAATGCTGAGAATCCCTTGGACAGCTCATAGAACAAACATCTCCATACGCAGAGAACTGGATATTCGGGATTATGAAAGGCTCTTCCCAGGAATCCAGAGGCGCATACTTAAATATTTCGGCCACGTGATACGAAAGAACGGGATGGAGAAGACTGTGATCCAAGTGGACGGCAAAAGAACGAGAGGTAGATCTTCTGTAAGATTCATGCACCAAATCAAGGACCTTACAAGTATGTCGGGGTCAGAAGTAATGAGAACCGTAGAGGATAGAGAAGCATGACGAAGACTGGGACCATAAATAGTCACGACGCTCGAAACCGAGCAACGTCTGAAGATATAGAAGAGAATAAGGAACTAGCCATAAATACGATTTGACTCACACATGTTAAGATATATCTGCCTGGATTAGCCGTCATTATTTTTTTATTAAGAATTTATAAAATTGCAATTGTTCCAAACTGACATATTGACTGAACTTCAGAAAATTTTACAGTGTTTCATTTGAAATGTTTAGCTAGACTAATAGTTTATCAAATGATCATTTAACTTGACTGTAAAAGATTGCTTAATTTCAAAGCTGAAGCGGCATCTTCAAGAGCTAAATTTTCGAGAAGCAACTGAATTTTGGCTTCAAGGACATTTTTCCTGTACTTCTCATTGAAGCCAATTTTGAATCACCCTCTGCTTTTTATGTGCTTTTGTAATATGATATTAATGTTGTAGAGACAATGTAAATTTGTTAGCATTGAGAGATCTCTGATGGATAAGCAAATAATACCAGTCTCGTGGGCAGAACGTAAAAAGTTTGCACACGAATGATTAGCAATATTGAATTTTTTTGTCCTAGATTTTGAAAAAAATATAATTGTGTAAATCCCAGAGAACGACTTGAATATAAAAACACTAAATATGGCAACAATAAATTGCAAAAGCTTTATAAAACATGTAGGAACTCTAGCACCAAAGTAGATAAAACTCCTAAATAAAAAAGCAAGGGACCACTAGAACACCAGTATTGAAATTATTGAAAATAAACTCATTTGCATCTTGATATAAATATTGAAATTGGTAAGCATCCACCTGAACCCTTCGTAGAAAATCACTGACGCAACAAATTGTGGCTATTCTTCTGAGTCACTGCCATCAATAAAAAAAATCACCACGTTATAAAATAGTGTTAAATTATAGCCATTTAAATCTGTTGGGCCCCATAAAATAAAAACCCACGATGATGTACGTTGATAATAATGACTTACAACCCAGAGGCAGACTTGATGTTGCCACCTGTCTGTCGTTCCGGAATAAAAGTTAAGTTGCGAAGAAGATTAAATGAGAAGTAGGGGATTAAAAATTCTGTTGTTGATAAGCCTTTGGTTGGGCAGGTGCAGAAACGGCATGTCCGGGCGCATGTAGGTAATGGGATTGTGGGTGGTTAAATTAACAAAAAAAAAACAGGAAACGTACTGAAGAAAAAAACCAATACAGGCTTCAGGGAAGACGAAATTTAATTTATCTTTTTGGACAATACGTAGACTTTTGCTGCTATTTAAATGACCACCATAATTGAAATTTTACATTTTCTAATATTTTTTTATTCGTTCCAGGTGAACGTCCTTACAAGTGCCATTTACCGGAATGTGGTCGAGCTTTTATCCAGCTTTCCAACTTGCAACAACACCTGCGCAACCATGACGCCCAAGTGGAACGTGCGAAAAATCGCCCTTTCCATTGCAATATATGCGGAAAAGGGTTCGCAACTGAATCTAGCTTGCGCACGCATACGTCCAAAGTAAGCCATGTACGTATGACACTTGGTTATTTTTTGTTTTAATTTTTGTGATTCAGTTGGGGCTTGTTCACAGTACGAACTAAAACTTTCTGTGATTTTATTTCAAGCCAGTATAAACAAGGCCCAATTGTTTAAAATTTGATTTTTAGGTTATATAATTAGTTCTGTATTTAGTTGCCCAAGTTTACCTCAATAATGGTAATCAAACAACAAGCTTTTGTTGTGGGCAGCTGAGTATAAAAGTTTTCAATTTTATTTATTGTATTTACTATTTTTTAAACACTGTGCTTTACATTTTTTCTTGGTTATAATGTTACTTTGTTATAGTTTTGATTTTCAGTTACATTTTGTTTGTTTCAGTTTTTGATGTACACCAGTAGTTGTTTGACAAATTTTCTAGAACGCACATATATAAAGTATAATATTTTATCGAAAACAACACACGCAAAATATCATACTGTATAGATGTACCGATCCAACATCACCCCGTTCCTCTTCGTTCCATCTTATTATGCATTCATATCAACATAAACTTATTCAAATTTTCAATGCATTATTAAAGTGTTGAAACGACGTTTTGTACCTTTAATCTTATCTTCAGATCCTATCGCCACCACATATAATTTTTGATATTTAAGTAGGTGGAAAATGTCGACTATACGCAAACCCCAAAATGTTGTTGATCTTTTCGATAACATCTAAACACGGGTTTTTCGAGCTGGAAATTCGATAGATTAATTTTTAGCAGGTGCAAAGCAATTTATATGGCACCTATTAGCATTTCCTGTGATTCAGTTGTCCAAAAATGATTTATTCTCTCATTGAGAAGCCGCATTCAATGAAGAATCCCTACGTAAAATCGCGTCTTATAAGTAATTTAGAGCCGTACATCGTGAAAAGAGCATCCCTTAAACCTAAAAAATCCCTTGCAAATTTAGCAATTACCTAAAAACCAGCAAGTGATGGCCACAAATCATCGCGATCATTTTTCAAACCCTTTTGAGCCATATTTTATGCACGCGAGAGTTTTAGGATATTAGGTTGACGCCATTCAAAAAAGTACACATTCTGTGATACTTTTTCCATTCAATATTACATGCGAACAGAAATATTGCTTAGCGTGAGTACCTATGTCTTACATACAATGCTTAAAAAAACAAAGTGGACTGGAAAAATACTTAGATCTAACTGAAATAACAAAAATTTATTTGATCAACGACAAATTGGGACACAATTCAAAATTTTTGAATGTCTGTTACTAAGTGATAATCTTTAACTATTGATATTGAAGCAGTATAAAGCACATATTATATTTATACCGTGGCGCCATTTACATCTGCAAAAACTCTACGCATATAATCCGTAACCACCTAAACATCAAGAAAAGGGTTGAAAAAAGGGGGCTGAAAAGAAATCGTCGTATTGCTGCTGCGAGCCGCTTGGCATCAGGTGCGACTTTAATCGAAAAATCTCGTCGTAATCCTTTAATTATTTTCTTAAATATTCAAAAGTTTCGGCAGAAAGGCGCAAACCCCGGCCAAATAATACGGGTATTAGATACTTTTTTTGAGAAGTTTACCCCGCACTTTTACTTGAGGTCAGCTGGTGGGGATTTTTAATAACAGCTGAGAAAAAACTTATTTTCTATACGATTCAACTTATAGCGTATCAGTAGTTGAAAAAACTGTCATGGATGGAAAATGGGAAGCGGAATCCAGCCCGTACATCATTTTTAGCTTTAAGTACGTTTCAACGCATCAATTGCTTAAAATGTGTTGCTTAATTTTGGAATAGAAACCCTGCTTTCCATAATTTTATGCCAATTTTTGACCCAAAAATTGATGAACATTATTCAAATATGTTCGAATGGTACACATTTGGAGCAGTTGTTACGTTGCAAATAAACTGAATGTACCAAAGACTAAAACTGGACTCAGAAGATGGATTTTTTCAACATCTCTCCAATGCGGGGTCACAAGGCAAAGGGTTGCATTTGAAAAAATATTGAGGGTGGTTTCAACTACTCCTGAATTTTTCCATTTAGAATTTTTGTAAAATGTAGATCAACACATTAAATTCACCCCCCAGATAACGAATTTATTTCAGTTAACGTTTTCGGTACTTGATCGGCAAATAATAATTTCTAATAATACGAAAACAATTTATTTATTGACTCATCAACTGATAAACTTTTTTCGTTCAACAAGAAACCAATAACCATTAAATCCAAAAAAACTATTTGGTACATATATATAATTGCATTGAAATTGTTATTGCGAATCAGGGCTAGTCTCCAACAGTGTCTTTGCACGAAAAAGTCCAATTACTTAATGTCCAAAATTCATAAAACAATTGAACCGAGCGTCATAAATTAATATGAAAGATGGCGCCGATTACGGCCGAAACTTTAAAAAGATGCGTGCATTTCGAACATTAAAAATATGTAGCGTGCTGTGGGCCATTTTGTTCCTGCTTTATTCTACTTTTGTAGTTCTATACTTGTAAAATCCCTTGTGCGGATTGGTTTTTGTCTTGAGCTTGGATAGAACCGTACTAGGAATATTTCCATCAATTTCCATCATACTAATTTGCAGAAAAGATAATCGAATGCTCAATGTTTACAACAAACAATGCTAAAGAATCCACCAAAATAAACCTTCTTTATTTAATTGTTAGCTCAGCTCCAGAAAAGACAAGAATGCTGTTGATATAACATAACTGTATACCAACTTAAATTTAAAAAAAATCACAAAACTCAAACGTACAGTTATAATGTTTGAAAAGGTTCTCAAAATCTGTTTAATTTATTAAATATTAAAATATCCTTAAGCCATCCCTGATGGAAACCGGTTTTGTTTATTGCGAATTTACGTGTAGGAAAGGGAGACAAAGCCACAACAAAAAAGGATAACTATCTAGAATCGCCTTGTTTTCAGAATATATGATAGATATAAAAACTTTTCCCACCAGATAAGCGAACGATAAAACGTTTAAATGCATACAAAAAAGGCCTAGAACTAGCAACTTAAAACTTGGCTATAATTTGAACTAAATGATGAATAATTGGTTTTTGTCATGCTGATTTTTGGTTTTAAATGTACGTTATTTGCTCAAAGTTATACATATAGTTGCGTTTCCACATATTTACCTACTACCTTTTATACACAGATCAGTTTGCTGTGTCCCTATTTTTTTTAAATTGTTTGTTTCATTCGAAATTATTTTGTTTTCAATTACCTTTGAAAATTATCCATATTTTTATTAGCCCCGCCTGAATAAATCACGACAAAATTTGACAAATATTTAAATATTTGAAATGCGCAAGAAATGCGTTTAGATCATTTTCAACAAGCAAAAACCAAGATTTTCTTAAAAAGTTGTGAAGTCTGAAATCGAACAGTTTTGGAGTGATTTATTTTTCTTTGCGCACAACTAATAGGAAAACAAGAGCAGAAAAATCAAATCTTAAAAAGCACAGGATAGATCAAGCGTACGTTTGAAGAACGCAATTAAATAACAACTGACACAAGAAAATATGAAACCAGCAAAATTGTTACACACACTAGCAACAATAGACGGAGTGAATATTTTCTTTTATTACTCAGTCTACAACAGCATTAGTGACTACTATTCAGGGTTCAACTTTTTTTCTTAAACAAAAATTTGCATTAATTTCAACATTTTTGCTGCCAATTGCAAAAAATTTGCCTACAAAGGCATGTTTTAAATTAAATTTTTTGGGAAAATCTTACTTCCTGTTTATCACTGTACAGTGTAGAACATATATAGACTTGTACTGCTTTCTGAGCTTCTGAGCATTGATTGTTACTGGCGACTATTAAGCCAAGTTCAAAAATTGACAGCAGAGAACATAATCGCTTTTTGAGACACGGATTTTAAATGCTTAAAAATGAATTACGCGAATCAATTAACAATAAACCACGAACATGGATTAGACACGACTAGTGCCATTTTTCTGCTCTCTGTTTTCTTCTGGAGGTTTAGTGGCTCAATCTTCTTTAAAACTTTTGCTTGCGAATGCTTGCTGATAATCGGGAGCATTTTTAAAACGACTCATTTCCAACTTTCCAAAAAATGTATATTTATTAAACCCCATTTTCTTTAGATCTTTTCTTTCTAGCCTTTTAATTTTATTATAGGGGTATACTTTATGAGTGCAATTCTATTCATTAGCGATGTTTTCCTATAGTCTCAGAGTCATTGAACAAAGCCGACAAAGTCGAAACATTAAATATTAACTGAAAAATATATAGCTACGATACAACATCAAGCCGCTTTTACCCGCTTTTCTCTCTAAAAAACCCAATACATTTTCCTAACTATATATTACGATTCCATATTTTTATTAGTCTCCAGGCTATATTTTTCGTAATTGCATGGTGAAAAAACAAATTGATATTCATTTCGAAGAAAAGTGGAGTCGAAGTGGAATCGTAAAGGTTTTTCATTCCAATTATTCTGCCTTTTTGTACTTTGCGCTTTATTATTAAGTGATGTGAAACACGACAGCTGGTTTTTAGTCTTGAGAAGAAGAATTGCTAGGCTTCTTTATCCGCGGACGTATTAGTACAGAGGACAAAAATATTATGTGGTTTAATGGAAATAATCTGCTATAAAAGCAGCAATAATTCGATAATAACCGGAACCAATACACTGCAACTACACCAGAAACATGACTTAATATAATAAATCTTCATCACGTTTAGGCAATATATATGAAAATCCGCAAAATAAAAACTTCTCTTTCATTTAACTAACAAAGATCTTAGTGTAAAAATGTGTCAGTCATAATAGCTTTCGCAATCAGAGATTGTATCAGGAAATGACGAAAGGAAGATGAAGGCAATGGAGGAAAAGAATCATTAATAGTAGATACATCTGTGAAGATAAAATGTTATTCTTTAAAAATAGAACTTGTTTTCCTATATTTGTCTGAACTATGAGTTCGTGCCTGCATAATTAACTTCAATTGCGTGAAAAGTGCATTA